CCACCCCCACCCGCAAGTGTATTGGGAGACAGGTACGGGGAAGTAAAAGCCAAGGTCTTTCAACCCGCTAGGGTTACTCGAAGAAGAAATAGATGATGCTGCTGGAAGTGTTGACTCCTGTCTGGGAACTGGTAGTTTGTTTTATACCTTTTCTGTCTCCCATTTGGGTTAGGGGAGGTTTGCAAACCGCAGCTCTAGCTAGAGGGGAAAATACTGTATCTAGTGGATGACTGATATTTTTCATTTAGCTTTGTGCTGGCTGTTGAGAAAGGGCGTCTACTTTGCTAATTCACAGGATTCGATTTATTTGCCTTTGTTCCTATCTGCTTGTTCCTACAGCATTTTAGAACGTTTGAATAACAGTGTCTCTAAAGCAAAAAGCTCAGCATGAATTAAGAAAATAAGTGTTTATAAGAAGGTTCTCCTTGTCCACAGAAGACACACTGGATATTCTCAATTCTTGGTGGGCACCTGGGAAGAGTAAGTGGGGACCAGACAGAAAATTCTCCAGGGGCCTTTCTGAGAGGGGTATCAGCTCTAGGAGGTTGAAAACAGCTCTTGTCTTCCCGCTGCCCCATCCCACTTCGTTTTTGTTTTTGTTTTGTTGTTTTGTTTTGTTTTGTTGTTTTGGAGAAAAGAGAGACTGGGAAGTAGCCCCATGGCTTTATGGTAATAAAGCTGACCTGGGCCACCTTACCCGTGGCTGTTTCTTAACCAAAATGGAAGGGATAGAAGACTGTTCCCTTCAAAGAATTTACCCTTCCATGAAGCATATATAAAATTCACAAGTGTACATTGTGATTTCAGAATACCAGGTCTAAAGCTTTCCCTCTCAAGACACTTATAGACACTAGTATTGCTGTATGTATATACGTGGCAGTATAACCAATGTGATCCTGCAACCTGTACACGTTGAAAAATGAGAATTCATACCCCATTTGAATCAAATATATGATATGTCAAGATCATTGTATTGTCATGAGCAACTAATAAAAAAAAATTCTCATCCTAATACTGGTTCATGATTCAATTCAGTTCAGCCAGCATTCACAAGTCGCCTGTTAAGAACAATTAGGCTATGTGTTGTAAGGATAAATCTATGGCACAACATTTCCCTCAGGGACAGACAACCTAGTGAAGGAATAAAAGTTATGTATACATCTTCACCATGCAGAACACAGAAACTATAACCAGTTTGAGGACAGTACTATGCAAGCATCAGAGAGATTAATTAAGAAAGTCTGAGAAAGAGAAACCTTCACAGAAGAGAAGGCTTTTTAATTGATGGTTATAACCTGACAGGGATTCTACTGTCATATATATATACATATATATATAAAGAACAAATTTGAAAAAGGAAAAAAAATAGCCAGCCATACACCTGTAATCCCAGAGCTTGGGGGCTGAGGCAGGAGGATCACTAATTCAAAGCCAGCTTCAGCAAAAGAAAGGTGCTAAGTAACTCTTAAATAAATAAAATACAAAAAAGGGCTGGGGTGTGGCTCAGTGGTGGAGTACTCCTGAATTAAATCTCCAGTACCCCCCAAAAAAATTAAAATACAAATTGACAGAGAGAAGGAAAAGGTATAATAAAGGGCTATGCTTTATGATAAAGTAATGATGGATGTAGGACATTATGCATTTGTCAAAACCCATAGAATTGTATAACACAAAGATTAAACAATGTAAACTAAGGACTTTAATTAATGCATCGATATTATTTCATCAATGGTAATATGTGCCACATTAATGCAAGATGTAATAATTGGAACTTTCGGAGAAGAGAGTAAATGGGAACTCACTGCACAGTTTTTCAATGAACCTACAACTGCTCTAAAATGTCTATTAAAAACAGTATAGTTGAGGCCAAGTCAGCATGGACTAGCGGGGGAGGAGACTGAGAAGGCCCCCCTCAAGCCCCATGGAAGAAGTCTGGCTGTCTGGCAAGGTGGCCAGAAGATCACATGCTTCTCCATAGAGGGAGCCAGTAAAGGTGTTTTAACTGAGAAGTGGTATGATTAAAATGTGTCTTGGGCATCTGGATTCTGCACTCTAAACTTTAATGAGTTGAAGGAACTGAAGTTTTTGATATTCTATCTTTGCAATGAATCTCATCTTTGCAAATGTCTCCAGCAAGATTTTTTTGTTTTGGGGGCTGGGGCTGTAGCTCAGTGACAGAGCCCTTGCCTAGCATGTGTGAAGCATTGGGTTCGATCCTTAACACCATACAAAAATAAACAAAATAAAAGTATGCTGTCTATGCACACTACAAAAATATTTTTTTTTAAAAAAAGAGTTTTTGTTTTTAAGGGATCTGATTCTACACAACTAGATGTTTTGGGCAATTTGAGTGATTAAAATATTTATATTCTTATGATAATGTGAATTACTGAATAAACAGTAGCTAATATTTTTAAATGCATCTTCTAATATAGGCACTTTACAGGTTAAGTTAACCCATTTAATCCCCATAATAAGCCTATCAGACAGGTACTATTAATACCCTCATTTCACAGATGACAAAACCAAGACATCAAAAAGTGAGAAATTTGCCCCAAATCACATACAGTTAGCTACTTAGTGGCTGACACAATAAGACAATGAGAAAAGACTAAAATAAAAGATTTTAGCTCAAAATCAACCACATGTACTATAGACTCAACTGTGTCATTAACACTCTATAGTGGGGTCTTATTCTCCTTGCCCTTGTAATATAAACATTGCCATTTAAAAGCATAGAACTACTTTCCAGGTGTGGTTCCTGGCATATATGGCATTTCAAAGAAATCCTGCTGGTGCCCAGTCCAGAACTTTTACCACATCACACCCCTGGATCATGAACTAGATGCACCACCTTTATACTTCCTCTCACAAATTATCCATCTGGTGTTCAGAAAACACTGTGTCACTTCCCTACCCTGAAAAATGTTTCTTCTTTCCTTCCACGTCCAGCCTGAACCCTGACCAGCTTTCAACCTTATCCTTTTTGCACCATTCACCTTCAATGTGGTCAGCAGTCTCCTCATTAGGCTGTGTACATGCTGTGCTCATTTCTGCCTCTGCCTTGGCTCTCGTTATTCACTGACCTGAAATCCCTGCCTTGCTGACCTCTAACTAAACTCTTGCCTCCTTAACAAGCCTCTGTCAAGTCCCTATCTCCTCCCAGAAGCCTTCTGTGATTGCTCTAGCCAACCAAATACCCATGTGCCCCCAGTGCCACCTCCCCTTCTCTAAAGACCTGTAGCATCTGGTTATTCTTTTGGTGATGTGCTATCTTGTGTCTGGTTTGATTGCTTCCTGGCTACAAATCCTGTCTCTTTCATATAGGTTCTAAGCAAGAATCACCTCCTTCACCCCTCCCCCAGCTACCAAGTGTTATGCCCAGTGCAGTCACTACATTATTCTGATCATAAAAGCTCACAGGTATCACTAGAAATTATCAGCTAATATTTACCCAAAACCCATAATGTTTATGGTAGCTCACTTGGTCCTTTGATGGTAAAAATATAAAACAGAAAATTAGGTCCTTTGGACACCAAGAATTCTAATTAAGGAAGACAAACATATCCTGAAGGCCACATGCAGGATATATCCATAAACACACTGTGAAGTTGGGTCTGAATGAGTCTGTCCATCTACAGGCCCTGGTGCTTAGAGGATAGCCCTGACCTATTAATTACCAGAACAAGCTATGAAGAAGGTAGAAACATGTGCCTCAAGTAGAGGAATATCATAGAAA